AAAAAAAAAAAAAAAAGATATGGATAGCTTTAGCTAGGTCGGCACCGTGACTGGAATTGAATCTGTAATCCCAGCTACTGGGGTGGCTAACACTGGAGGATCGCTTGAGGCCAGAAGTTTGAAACCGAACCAGCCTGGGCAACGTAGCAAGACCCCATCTCTCTATATAAATAAAGAGATAAATAAATAAAGATCAAGATAAAAACAAGAAGGGCCCTGCATGGACCAGTAGTGACAATGTGCTGTGAACTGAAGGAACTGACGAAGAGGATTCACTCAGCCCTCCACACAGCTGAGTGCACATCTGGAAAACCAAGGCTCACGGATCTTCACTCCTGGAGGGGGACTCGTGAAGTCCACATCCCAAAAGCTCTTTGTCCAAGCTGGGACTGGGTCTGATGTCTGCCGGGGCCTGGGTGGGCAGAGCAGATGAAGCCTGGTGGACGCCATTCTCTGAGCCCTGGGTCCTGGGTTCTAGACAGCTATGGCGCTAGGTGAGAGCCCCAGCAGACAGGTCCTCTAAATGGCCTGAGCATTTCCAGCCACCCAGGGGTGGGCCCTGGCTCCATCAGGAAGGGCCTGGGTCCACCAGGAAGCAGGCAGGGCCTCCCCAAGGTGGAGGTATCTCAGGCTTCTTCCTTTTCTGGAGACTCATTGTGTTTTTGAAACATTAAAAAAATACCAAAAACGGCTGCTGCTTGGAATTCTTAGTTGATCGGAAAAAAAAAAATACCAAAAACAGCATTATGGAAACCACGATGTATCTTAAATGTTTTCATCTGCTGCATGAACACTCTTGTTTTGGTTTGGTTTGGTTTGTTTGTTTGTTTGAGATGGAGTCGAACTCTGTCGCCCAGGCTGGAGTGCAGTAGCATGACTTTGGCTCACTGCAACCTCCACCTCCCAGGTTCAAGCAATTCTCCTGCCTCAGTCTCCCAAGTAGCTGGGACTTCAGGCGCCTGCCACCACGCCCGGCTAATTTTTGTATTTTTGTTAAAGACGGGGTTTCACCATGTTGGCCAGGCTGGTCTCGAACTCCTGATCTCAGGTGATCCACCTGCCTCGGCCTCCCAAAGTGCTGGGATTACAGACGTGAGCCACCAAGCCCAGCCAAGTCTACATTCAAGGTTCTTCAGGAATGTGGGGACCAGACCAGATTCCCCTAACTCCTCAAGACAGGTCTGTGAGTCAGATCTGCATCCAGGAGGATGAGCAGGGCTGACCCTGAGTGGTGAGAGGAAAACTCCCCCACACCCTGAAGCAGCAGAGCCAAGGGCTACAGGCCTGGCTCTGGCACCAGAAGTTTGTGACATGGCCCCTCTGGCCTTTGGTATGGCCCATAGGTCTGGCTCGGGGGCCAGGAGGGACTGGGGAAGGCAGGAGGAACCCCTCTGAGAGGGGTGGCAAATGGCTGAGATAGAAGGGGTCAGACTCTCCAAGATGTTAGGGGCAGCGTCTGGAGCTGCATGCTGGCTCTAATCCTCCTTCCTTATGCTGTCATCAGAAGAGGGTGGGGGGTGGGAGAGGGAAAGGTGGAGTCTCAGGCTCTTGTGAGCTGCATCTGAGCCTTCGCCCGCTACCTCCAGCCGAAGAGCCGGGCCCAGTCACCCAAACAGGAGGCAGACGGAGCTTCACAGCCACTAAGAATTAAGACCTATTGATTTTCCCCATTAGCCAGAGAACGCCATCAAAGTGCATTAAAACCAGGCAAAGCGGCAGCATCATGAATAATTAACATCTGCAAATGACAACCCCATGGGGCTAGGGGGAGGCAGGAAGGGGCTTCTAGAGGCCTGGGGCACCCTGACCCCTTCTGACCCCCACCCCAGGGAGCCATCGTCTAGGCTGCCCTGCCCTCCCTGCCTCTTGTCCCCTCTCATTCCTTGTCCTCTCCTTAAAGAAACACCAAGTCCGCAGCACAGCCAGCGACCTAAGCTGATGCTGGAGCAGGGAGGAGAGAGCACTGAGACAAGAGTCGGGGTGGCAGCTTGGCTGCGTGTCACTGTGTGACCTCGGTGAAAGTGTTGCTTCTTTCTGGGCTCATTCTCCACCTCTGTGCAGTGCAGTGATTGGCCCAGCTGGCCTCTTGCTCAGTCTCTGGTTCTACAGAGGGACAGTGACTCCCAAAGTTACACAGCAGGTCCGTAGCACAGCCTGGGTCACTGGGGTATCTTCCCCAGTCCAGTCTATGGGAGCCTTTTGTGCCAATCAGAAAAAAATCACCCCCTTTGGGTAGACCAATTGGAAAAGGCCACCCCTTTGAGTGGACCAATTTGAAAATGAATGCACACCCTCTGAATAGATCAATTAGAAAAAAAGCACTCTTCTAGGGGGACTAATTTTTCCTTTCTTTTTTTGAGATGGAGTCTCATTCTGTTGCCCAAGCTGCAGTGCAGTGGTGTAATCTCGGCTCACTGCAACCTCCATCTCCTGGGTTCAAGCGATTCTCCTGCCTCAGCCTCCGGAGTAGCTGGGATTACAGGTGTGCACCACCACACCCAGCTAATTTTTGCATTTTTAGTAGAGACAGTGTTTCACCATGTTGGCCAGGCTGGTCTTGAACCCCTGGCCTCAGGCGATCCACCCTTCTTGGCCTCCCAAAGTGCTGGGATTACAGGTGTGAGCAACAGTGTTCTGCCTAGGGGGACTAATTTTTTAAAGGCCCCCTCCAGACTAACCAATAAGGAAAAAGCACTCTTTTGGGTGGACCAATAAGAAAAAGGCAACTCCCCATGCTGTCACAGTTGAAAAGTGCAAGTCTTGGCAGAGCAGAGGTAGGGCTGGATACCACCCCCACAGCCATCTCTCCCCTCCCCTCCCCTCTCCCCAACTCCCCACCGTCTCCTACCTTCTAGGGTGTCCTTGTGCAGTATGCATCACCTAAACAACTGTACATGGCTGCTCTGTTCCCAGCCCCCACCTTCCCTGGGCAAGGAGGCCCAGACCTGTCCTTCCAGCCACGTGTATCGATGGTTCCTTCCAAGCCTCTCTGTGTCCCCACCACCAAACTCCTCAGCCCCTCAGCTGACCTGAGTTCCCACTTTCATTTTCCTCCCACCCACCCTTCCTCTTCAGAGCCCTGGGTGGGCAGCTCTGGAACAGTCCCTCCTGCACCTCCAGCTACGTCACCTCTGCCTTCTGGCTGCCTTGCAGCGCCCCGTCCATACTGTCCATGACTCGGAGCCTTCGCGGACTCTATTCCCTCTGCTGGCAATGCCTCCTCTCTTGAGCTCCCTGGAAAACTCTACTCACTCTTCAAGGCCCAGTTTAAAGATGTCTGCTGCTCACTCTCCTCCTCAAACGCCAGCTAGTTCTTGCCTCTGGGCTTCTGCACCTCTTCCTAGAATGTTCTCCCACCAGATCTGGCTGGTTCCTCCTCCTTCTTCCTCCTCCTCCTCCTCGTCCTCGTCCTGTGGGTTTCAGCTCCAGTGTTCCCTCCTTGGGAGGTGTTCCCTGAACATCCCATCTAACTACCTCCCCATCAGCCTCTGTCACATGTCCCTGTTTTATTTTTTCCATAGCACTTTGGACAATCTGAATGTATTTTTCCTTTGTTTATGGATGCTTCCAGAGCCACTGTGAATGGTGGGGCGTGTTGTCAATTGCAGAGGTGAGTGGGCTGAAACCCAGCCTGGGTCAACACCGCAAGCTGGTGCTGGGGCTGTACCTGCTTGGAGGGAAGCACCTTTCCCTAATGCACATGATGGCACCATGCAGGCAAGCTGCAACCCCGCTGGTGTCACCTCCTGCAGTGACACGCAAAACCCACCAGAGGAATGGAACCTGCCCACTTCACTGCTGTGTGCCCATGCCCAGCCCAGTGCCTGGCACCATGCAGGTGTTCAGTAAACATTTCCAAGCCTGGTGCAGTGGCATGCACCTGTAATCCCAGCTACTTGGGAGGCTGAGAAGGGAGGATCACTTGAGCCCAGGAGTTTGAGACCAGCCTGGGCAGCATAGCGAGACCCTATCTCAAAAAAAAAAAAATCAGGCAAACAAATTCTATTCTGATTCTCCCACTCGCATCCTCCTCCCATACGCCTCAATAAAGTACGCTAGGCGCTGTGGCTGCTTCATCGCTGGGTCTCACTGAAGCCAACCCCAAAACTGGGCTCAGAGTTGGCAAAGGTGACTGCTAAGAGAACATGGGAGGACCCAGGGAGTTGAGGGGTGAGTGTGAGCTTGGGAGCCCTGAAGATGCTCCCTGAAGCTCTGAGACTTGTCTATCCCAAAGACACTGCCCTGAGCCTCCAGTGCCCCCCCATGGCCCCCTAGCTCTCTGGAGGTGTGCATGAAGGAGTCAGGTGGTCCACACACTCCCAAGCCCCAGGAGCCCACCTCAGCACAGAGACTCGTGGGCAGGAGATGGCAATGAGGGTCCCGCTGCGACAGCCAGGCTCAGAGCGGGGGTGGGATCAAGGCACCGCCCTTCCCTCTGCTCCCCGAAGCCACTTCGCCAGGCTGCCTGGCCGTACCCGCCCGCCCCGCCAGCCTCCCCAGCTCTGGCAGGGAAGGAGTTAACCTCCAGCCTTCTCAGCGTGAATGTGGAGCTATTAATACCCACAGCCCAGCCAGTCTGCCAGAGAAGCCACTGGAGCTGGGGAGAGCAGGGAGCCGGGGAAGCCGCCAGTCGCAGCCTAGCCGGAACCGGGACTCCAGGGGTCAAAACTTTTCACGAGGACGACGTGGGCCCTGTGCCAGTCTCACCTGGCCCTTGCCCATCTTTCAGCTGCAGGTCCCAACCCTCTCTCCTGAAGGCCACCCGTGCCACCCACCCCAGCCAAGAACAAACTTTCTCAGGGAAGCCACCTCTGTGGCCGTGCTGGCTGGACAAGGAGGAGCAGACGACTGGACAGACAGGGGGACTGGGGTACAGGACACTGTAAGCCTGCCCTCCCAGGCCTGCCTCTGACAGACAGCCACAGAGTGGGCAGCTGGGGGGCCTCGGGCTCCACAGGGGCAGTGGGGGGCCCTGCTGGACCTCCGTCCACCCACCAGCCACCTTGGAGTCCAGGTGGCTGGACACTGCTTCCCAGGGCCCAGCCCTGTGGCTGGAACACCTTCGGGTCAAGACAGGAGCCCCCACCAGACAGAGCCCCCCCGGCTCCTCCACCCACCGAGGCGACGGGCAACCTGAGCGAGAAGGCACAGGTGGCGGGCGGGCAGGTGCAGAGCCCCGAGGCCGACGGGCTGCTGACCCTGGAGCACCCTGGCTCAGGGACTTCTGCCCAGGCTGGGGACGATGCTGTGGAGGCCACCCCCGGCCACCCCTGCCCTGTCCTGGAGCTGCCTCCGGCCTGGCCCATGGGCTGTGGAGTCGACGATGTCCCGGCCTTCTGCTTCATCTGCTTCCACAGGGAGGAGGAGGAGGAGCTGCTGGAAGAAGTTCCACTGCGGAGGTCAGTGCCCGTGGGTGGCCAGCGGGTGGGCAGCGGGTGGGCACAGCACTCAACCTGGGGTGCCTCTGGGCCTGGCAGTCTTGCTTCAAGTCTCTCTCTCTCTGTCCACTGCTTACCACCCACTGCCACTTCCTGCTTCAGGATCTCAGATCTCTTACCTGGTTGTTGCCACAGCCTCCTCCCTATCTCTCCCACCCTGGCCCCAGAGTGGCATTCCCATCCTCTCCCACAGTGGGCATGTCCCCCACCTGCTCAGAGCCCTCCATGGCTCCCACGTCCCGTGGGATGAAGTTGACACTCGGCTGGGCATTCAAGGCCTGCGTGATTGGGGCTGACACTCTCCACCTCATCTCACTCTGTTCCCCTATATTCACTTCCAGTGAAATTGCCCAGACTTCTCTTCCCCGGTTCTCCTCCATCCAGGCCCAGCTGCAACGCTTCCTCCTTCAGGAAGTCCTCCTGGATGTCCCTGTCCCACCCCAATCTGAGAGCCACCTTTCCATCCTGCACTGCAGTGGCACCTAACAGGTGTTCCATCTTTGTTGAACTCATAAGTGAAAATGTGTGCATGTGTATTTGCTTGTGTGTGTGTGTAAAAGAGGGAGGGAGAGAGAGAATGAATGTTTATGAGGCTGCCTGACTGGGTATTGGGGGCGAGTGTGTGTGACTGTGAGCGTGTGTACATATTTGTGGGCGCAGGTGTGAGTCCTGCATACCTATGTGGAGGGAAGGGCTGTGCCGTGAACCCCCAGTGGGAGTGCATGCCTTAGAGACCATTGTTCCTTTAGCCAGCTCTCCCCACCCCCACCTGCAGGGAAACCCAGGCTCCAGCCAAGTGCATTATCCAAGCTGTGACCACAGGCTCTGGGAGTGATCTGCAGGGGAGACAGGGGTCACCTCTGCTCCAGCCCCGCCTGCCTGCGCCTCCATCACTGCCTGAGTCAGCACTGCCCTGCCCTGGGTCAGGAGACGCAAGGCATGAGCCAAACAAGGTTTCCCCTCCAGGATGCTTGCAAGATGAGAGGGCAGGGGGTGGACTCCTGCAGGCTGCACCAGGTTCCTCCCTGACTCTCTCTGTTGGACCCTGGGTCCACAGTTCCCGCTCCGTGGGCCTCTGTCTTCTCATCTGTGAAATGGGAGAATGTTCTCTACTATGGTTGCCAGCTTAACATTCAACACAGAGACTGGCCACCCACAGACGGCCAGGGCCTGGGCTGGGGACTGGAACCCGGCTCACAGGGTCACTGCCTGCTAGGAGAGATAGAGGAGAAGACAGATCAGTTCCGCACAGAGTAGTGGGCATCTTGATGGGCGTGGGTGCAGAGTGCCTAGGAAATCAGGAGGGAAAGATGGACCATCTCCACCTACAGGATCCATCGGAGGCCACCAGGTCTGTCTTAACATCCAAGTGCCCTCCCAGGGGCGAGAGACGCTGAGGAAAGGGCATCACCGGCAGCGGGAAAGGCAAGAGCAAAGGCTCGGTGCAAACAAGAAATGAAGTGTGGACGGTGCGGGTGTGGCTGGCAGGAACGGGGCCAGATCACCGAGGACCTGGATGCTGGGCCGGGGACCTGACCCATAGGTGCTGGAGCAAGCAATGGGGAGGGCTCGAGGCAAAACGGGGCAAGTGAGGAGAAGCAAGGGAATAACAGGTGCCGAGGGCACCTTAAACTCCAAAGCCATGGACTCATGATAGAAACCCATGTTCATAGTGAACGCTCAAAATGCTTGTTGAATGAATAAATGAATGAATGAACAAACGAATATGACATTGAAAGATAGGGCATCAGGCTAGGTATGGTGCCTCACACCTGCAACCCCAGCCCTTTGGGAGGCCAAGGCGGGTAGACTGCTTGAGCTCAGGAGTTTGAGACCAGCCTGGGCAACATAGTGAGATCACCATCCACACACACACACGCACACACACACACATACACACACACACACACACACACAATTAGCCAGGCGTGGTGGCATGCACCTGTAGTCCCAGCTACTCCAGAGGCTGAAGCAAGAGGATCCCTTGAGCTCAGTATTTCGAGGCTGCACTGAGCTATGATCGTGCCCCTGCACTCCAGTCTAGGCGACAGGTGAGACCCTGTCGAGAGAGAGAGACAGAGAGAGAGACAGAGAGAGAGAGAGAGGGCATGGGAATAATCTGAGTTGATTGTTAAAAAATACCACACTCCACTCCCAGGCCCTGCCTTGGAGATTTTGCAGCTTCGGGTCTTAGGATGGATGTGTGATGTTGATCAGTTTCCTCCTAGTGAATAATTTAAGCAAAGCAGCATTTGGGAAGCCCCAGAAAGAGACAGGCACAGGCCTCAGGGTTGGCAGCCGTGAAATCCTGCCCCCTCCTCCCTCATCCCTTCATCTCCCACCTCTGATTCTAAGGACTCTCTGTAGGGGATGTCTCTCTGCCTCCTTCTCTGGGAGTATGGTAGCCTATGTTTGCAGGAGCTGGTCTCTTTTCTAGCCGGTGGGTTCTGGCCCTTTAAGACCTGGGAGGGGATAGGGCCAGGCTGGGCAGAGACAGTGACCACAGGTGCCAGGTGGTGAAGCTAAAAATACTGAGTGATGCGTCTGCCCAGGCTTCGGGAGCCAGTGCTGGCTGGGGAGGGTGGGGCGGAAGGCGCTGGAGTGTTTCTCTGCTGCTGGAGGAGGGGCAGTGGGGCAGTAAGGCTGGGTGGGGTCACCTTGGGGCTTAGAGGAATCTCCGGCTGCCCCCATCCAACCCCACCCCGCCTCTCCCAGCCTTGCTCCAGCCCTGGAAGGCTCCAGGATTCACTCCTAGAATAGCCGGCTGCCACATTTAGCAGCCCTGGGCAGGCTAATTCTGGTGCATCCCGCTTCTGTGTGATCCTGGGGAAGTCACTTCTTCTCATTGGGTATCTGTAAAATTAAAGAATTGGACTTTCTCAGGCATTTGTAGGGAAAGAAAGGCAACAAAGGGGGGTAGGTGACCAGTTCACTCCTTTGTGGATTCAGTACATTTCCCCTGGGGACTGGATGCTGAGGCCACTGCATGGATGTGACACAGCCATGTCCCTGGAGGGGCTCGCAGCCTAGCGAAGACAAAACAACACATGCTCCAACAGACAGTGCCACATGCTATAATAAAGGTGTGAGCACTGTGCCCTCGGCTTCTGTTGTGGGACGATGCAAGAGACAGCCCCACAGAGAACACATCTGCATTTGATGAAAATTTGTCAGCAAACTCGTCACCCACAGTGATGTTCACCAGCCACCTACATATGGTGTTTTGATGTATGTATTAAGGTGAGGCAAGCTGTTGGAATAAATAAGCTTGGCGATCATAATGGCTCAACACAGAAGAGACTTATGTTCTGGGTGTGTGTTGCAGGGGTGGTGATGGAAGAGACTCTGCTCCATGTGATCTTTCAGGGATCCAGGCTCCTCTCATCTTGTGACTCCATCATCACCCACGGCCACTGCATGCAGCTTGCAGATGAAGAAAAAGAGTGGGGATCACACATGAGGTTTTTATGAACCAAAGCTGGAAGTGGTCTCCTTCATTTCTGCCCACAAGCATTGGCCAGAACAGCTCATTGCAAGAAAAGCTGGGAAACGCAGTCCAGTCTACATGAAAGCATCCAGCACATAATAGATGCTTGATGTGCTCATTTATTCATTCACTCAGTAAATTTCATTGCATACCTTTCGTGCGCTAGCACCAGAAACTGGACTGAAAATACCATCTCTGCCCTCAAGGGGTTTATGTCTAATGAGGGAGTCAAACAAAACACAAGTGAACAGATCAGATCATCAAGCTTCAAAACCCACTGTGAAGGAAACTACCAGGGATGGTGGAGACAGCCGCTTTGCGTACGGGAAACAGAGAGGTATGGTGGGCGTTTCATCTGAGACCTGGAGAATGAGAAGGAACCAGCAGTGGAGAGAGGGGTGGTAACAGCAGCTCAGGCAAAGCAAACTGAGAGCAACGGGTAGGCAGAAGCACGAGGAGGGTGAGGGATAACGCATCTGTGTGGCCGAGGCAGAGCAAATGACAGGGACACTGACAAGGAGGGGGCCAGGAGGTACAGGAACAGCCAGGCCACGCAGGCCTTGGCACCCATGGCCAGGAGAATGGGTTTTGTTCCAGATGGACTTGGGAAGCCTTTGAGAGCTCTTAAATGGGGGAAGTTGTATAATCTGATTGACATTTTAAAGGATATTTCAGGCTATGCTCGGGAGAATCCGTGGGGACGGGCCAGAATGGATAGAGGACGCCAACGTGGAGGTCACGGTGGTGGGCGGCTTTGGACATGGGGAAGTAAGAAAGTGCTTTCTGAACATATTTAGGAGACTGGGCACAGTGGTTCATGCCTGTAATCCCAGCACTTTGGGACACCAAGACGGGAGGATTGCCTGAGCCCAAGAGCTCCAGACCAGCCTGGGCAACAGAATGAGACCCTGTCCCTACAAAAGAAAAATTTAAAAATTAGCCAGGCATGGTGCCATGGGCCTGTAGTCCCAGCTACTCAGGAGGCTGAGGTGGGAGGATTGCTTGAACCCAGGAGTTTGAGGCTGCAGTGAGCTGTGATGGTGTCACTGCACTTCAGCCTAGGTGACACAGCAAAACCCTGTCTCTAAATAAATAAATAAATAAAAGCAAATGTTGGAGATAAATCCACAGCATTTTCTGGTGGGTTAGAGGAGGAAGAGAATCCGGGTGAATCTGGGCTTTGGGGATTGCAGAGATGCGTGGATGTTGGGCAGATTCGAGGGAGGGAAGAGGCTTGGTGAGAAGAACATCAAGAATCCCGGCCAGGTGCGCTGGCTTATGCCTGTAATCCCAGCACTTGGGAGAGCGAGGCAGGAAGATCACTTGAGGTCAGGAGTTTGAGACCAGCCTGGCCAACCTGGTGAAGCCTTGTCTCTACTAAAAATACAAAAATTAGCCAGGCGTGGTGGCACACACCTGTAGTACCAGCTACTAGGGAGGCTGAGGCAGGAAAATCGCTTGAACCCAGGAGGCG